AAAAAAAAAATTTATCAGCACATTAAAAACTAAAATACATCCAATGTCAGAACATCCTATAGACCAAGGGGTAAGTACCTGTACCTTCCCCAAGGGTAAAGGTAAAGAAAAGTAAAGTAGGAGAATAACCCATAACTCGCAGCGTCGTTGTGCTGAATTGCGTATGGGCGTGGTCCGTGAGTACCATACAGAGGCGCTTATAGTAGCTACATGTTTACATCATTCCACAACGACAAAGTGCTGAAATAAACCATCGCATCGTGGTTACCCCCTACTCTTTCAAAAAATGCAATGGGTTCTTTAAAGTGCACACGAGCAAGATGTGTACACTGAACCTCCATATTTTAAGTCCTTATCAGAGAAGACTTGGTTCTACCAACTGAAACCTAGACTAGGAGCAGCCGGAACCAGTGTCAATGTTAAGGCTGTGGGTAAGGGCGCCCCTGCCTTACCGTTTAGCCACTCAAATCACCAAATAAATACCTTCCCCAAAGAAGGGCAGGTAAGGACACAAGGTAAAATTCACAGCGAGGGATTCAAAACATGATAAATGACATCATTTTTCTAAACCTGATTTTAAATGTAAAGTAAAGCTGGTTTTCAATACAATCGCTACACGTTATTACCAACAGCTGTCGTTGATGCTGATTGGTAGGTCGAATCAGGGAGCCTTTCCAATTGAGTCTGGGACTGCTACTCAGTACAACATAGCATTAAAACACTGTAGCGACAGTGGAGCGATTTTAAGGAAACCAGGTTTAAGTAATCAGAACAACAATTCTTCTCCCCTCCAACACCCATAATCACTGACAATATTAACACTTACGGTATGGGTCCATGACATCTGTTCTTGGTAAGAAGATCGAGCGATGGTGGCGCTAGTTCTTTGCATAAGAAATGGTAGTAGTCTATGAGAAGCCGATAATACCCATCAAGGAGGGTGACCAAACCCTCTGCCTCTTGTCTTGTCTTCAGCTGCAGAAACTATTAATAAAAATATAAAAAACATCATAGCAATTAACTTTAATAACTGGTCTGAAGGTAACAACAAAAATGCAATAGCAATAAAACTAAAGTATAACATACCGTACCCCTCTTTCTCTGTTTTTCAATATTCAAAAAATGTGTATCGTATTACTCATAATAAACATTCCCAATTATTTATTCAAACAGCCTTTAAAATATTCAGTTGTACAAAATATCAAAACACTGTTTTTCCTCTAGGAAAAATATTTGGGCAACAGAGGACAGAAACTGAACCTGGGCATAAAAGAAATATTAGACATGGTTGGTTGAAGAATAATATAAACAGAGAAGAAACAAGACTCGAACATAAGGAAGAAATAATACGTAGACAGGAAGAAGAAATAATTATTGTACCCAGAAGAGTAAAATAAAAATGCGAACAAGGGAGATATTATAAAGAATAAGCAGTTAAAAATGACAAACATAAATTTAAGTTATTATTTATTAACTTATTAAAATATCATTTCCCAGACGACCTCTGGCATATCATGTCTAACGGTCAATGGAAGATACCGCGGGCATTGACTTGGAATAGATTTGTTTTTGTTTAACTTTCAAATTGGATCTATAGGGCTATTTTCAAAGTACTGTATACCTATTTTGTTCTAGTCACTTGCTGTACCATTACAATTTAAGTTTAGTATATAAGTTGCAACTTGTGAAATACAAAATACAAATGAATATCATCATGAATAGATTAACAGACTTGAAGAATATAATATTGAAAAAAAAACAAAAACATAATGTCACAGCAGATGATGAAAAGGTTATAGCTGCCAAATATACTTGTGTGACATCATCTTGCATCCATTTATGATGAATATATTGTATGTTTCATTTAAGTGCATTCAATAGCTCTATATAGATTCTCAAGGACTACAGGAAATGGAATTGATGCAAAGAAAAGGAGTAAAGAACAGCGGTGCACATATGTTAAGCAGACAAGGCCAGTTTAAAAGACTGACAAATATGATTAAACTGTATATTGTAATAATTTTTACGAAATTTAATGAGTGATACAGTTACTGAAGCCTGGGATGTAGTTATGGTGGGACCACCTAACCTTGAAGCTAATTTCATGGCCTTTCACCTACCCATATTAACCCACTTTTTCATTTAATATATTCCACTTTTATTATTTAGAGTTTACCAATGTTATCATATAGTTACCCTAACAATTGTCTATCACCCTCCCTTAGATTCCTTCAGCTACAAACTTGTGAAGCTTATCAAAACAGAAAACAAATAGTGCATAGAACTTTTTGCTACACACAAAAAATGCTGGAAATCAAACTTTAGTACTGATATAGTGCACATAAGCCAACTGTGTACAGTGGGCCTACAGTACGGTTTATCCACCTCCAAAGCCATAGGCAAGCGTGCCGTTCGAAACAGCACCAATGTTCTGACTGTAGGTGGCGGGCCCCTGCCTTAACCGCTCGGCTATTTAACTATTTACTTAATTCTGAACGAAAAATACATTTTATTATATCATGGCAACAGTTTGATAATTGCTGCGAAGCAGCAAATTCATATTCTTGACAGCAATTTGACCTCATTGTTTGTCAAAAAACAAGGGCCTAAGACGGAGTTTCCTTCTTTTGTTCTGCCGGGTAAAATCAATTACTTTAGGCGACGTTTGTAGACTAACCAACACGTACCAACGTCCGCATGTCGCGCTAGCCTTATCCTACTCTAGGCCTAGACTATAGGATGGTATAGGCCTAGCCTTGAAGGGACAAAGGTTCCAATGAAAAACAACGTCGTTCATTGATAAAATTGTCTATTTAACATCAGAATAATTCATTATTATATTAGACCTATAGTTGTTTTTTGAATTGTACTCCACAAATCTCAGCCGATGCCTCGCATAACTCGAGTAACGTCTCGTATCTATTGTCGTGACGTCATGGCTCGCTGGCTCACACTTGCGATGTCTCGCACTTGTGATCAAATAACACGCTGGCTCGCACTTTGGCAACACTCTTTGGCAGTCAACTCGCCTCTAGAAAACCCGCCCTTGGAAACTTGCCCCATAAAAAAATGTACACTCAGTGTTCTTCCAATTAAAAAATTTTTACTGGTAAATCAGTTGTAAGTAAGCTTGCTGAGCGCGCAATGCGAGGCGAAAGCCATTCTGGGGGGGGGGGTTCGGGGCCCTGAGGGCCCCGAAAGCTTTAGGGTACTATATGCTCTCTGGTGCATTCTCAGCTGCATTTAGACAGTATTTTACAACACTGAAGTATGATCTTTAACAATTTTTTAAAGTAAATTTTTCGTTGTGAATTTACTTTTAACACTTGTCAAAAAGACTAATGAAGGGAGTGAAAAAGGACCAGACTGAGACTGTTCTATCAATGGATTTAATAATGCAAGCTCACTTCTCATAACATCATGCACCATATCATTGGTTTTTACAACATAAATAATATTGCTAGCATCTCAATTTCCTGGATTAAGTATGGACAGCTGAGCATAGAGGCAGGTAAGTTTTAAAGTATTTGTGATGATTTTCTGAATAAACTTAATTTACAAACTGTGATGTTTTACAAACAAAAAGTAATAATAATATTAATAACGATGTACTCTGCTGCAGCCTATACACAGGGACCACACAGGGCCACACACTAAAGTTTAATTGCGCGAAGGATACAGTACCTAAAAATCGCTAGGAAAATAGGTGTGCGCGTAATCGTAATTGCTGCATAATTGCATTGGTTATATATTAAAGATCAAAGCCTAATTTTCGGCAAAATCTGAGCAGAAATCGGCCCTCCTTTTGCAAGATGCGCAGACGGGTTTCTAGGCCAAATTATTGCGCGAAGGAAAGGTCTACATTCCGCACGCAGGCCATAAACTACTACTCTAAGC